ATTAAATTGTGCATAGATAAGACATTTGTAAATACCCAAGAGACACTGTCCTTGCAGAAATTGTCTATGGAACTAGTCTTTTGTAGGTAGTTTAGATATTTAAGAAATGTTTAGTACGTGGTTAAAATATACCAGTAGTGATGAATTATGTAGGACTGGGGTTGTCACACAGGATCATGGACCAGCCAGGTTATAAGAACGGAGCAGAACAGTCATGCGAGGAGTCTCTGCTGACCTAACTGAAGACCCTGCCATGAGGACACTTGCAATGGAGAATCCTGCCACCACTAGCAACCAACTGTCCCTTTTGACAGATTTGAGACTGTATGCAAGCATCTCCCTATGCAAACATCCCAATAAATTAGTTCCTTCTTTCTCGACAGGCACTCTGCCATGAATGTCCATACAGTGAATGAGTGAAAGCCTATCTGCTCCCTTAGGACCTAAAAGATGGCCAGGAGCAGGCTGCCATCTGCAGAACAACCCATTCTCCTCACTCCCACACGCCTTTGGGTGTGGAAGAAGGCTATATATTCCATGAACTGTTTTGGTGGCTGTTGTTGTACAGCCCTTACTGTATGATATGAACAGATGTAAATCCGTTATGGTACAGGGAGGTCATACAAGGCCTTTGGGAAAAAGAACGGTCAGCTCTGGGTCAGCAGAACAGCTCAGCCCACAGTCTGTCCTGGGGGATCTTCAAAAAAGACGTGAAGTGGGCCACAAGCCAAATGACTCATCTTGGAAACCTGCTTCACTGACACATGTAAATGCTTATTTCTGAGATTACATATAGAGTTTTCAAGGAACTTTGAAATCCAGTCCCATTTGTCAAAATGATGTAGGCATTTCAATGCCACAGACTGTTAAGAAGACTCTGAGATTCCCAAGTCACTTTAAAACTTAGTTTCTGTTAACTATTGTAACCTTATTAACATACAAACTAGTCTATGGCTAAATCTTTCCCATAAAACATTTCTTAGGTGTGCATTAGTTTATATTATCCCTGTCTTTAATCTCTGACAATACAATTTGTTTAAAATGCTGTCCTCTTCACTAAGTGCAGAGGAGTCAGTTCCTCTGCATATTTTTTGCTTTATTTATTCTCCAGCTTTATTATTAATTATACAGTTTATGAATGCTAAAAACGCAGTCTGTAAGTTCTGATAAATGAGCAACAATAAAAATCTGACCCTACTTACTGCTGAGGACTTTCAAATTCCTCTGGTCTATATCTGTTTAATCAAGTACCCCTGCCTGAAATGTAGTGTTTGATATGTTCGTAAGTGATGTTTAGTGAAAAGTTTGTAATGAGGATGGATCTTTACAAACTTGAAAAGTTTGTAATTGTAGGATGGATCTTTAAATAATCAACAAGTAAGCTTAAAACATTAGAGGAAAGAATGTCTAGGAAGGGGAGAGAAGGGTCCATATTCTGGATTCTGGTTAGTAATGTGAATTATCACAAATGGTCTGAGCTAGAATTTTTAGAGGGGAAGTCTAGAAATTCCCAAGTCATATCTTAAATTATTAGTTATCCCGCTCTTTAAATAGGGCAGAGTTCAATCAGTCTCCTGTAAAGTACTAACTCAAACTGATACTGACACTTGGGTTTCCTCTTTGTTTTAGGAACGGCTGGTGCTCTCTGTCTTACCACGGTTTGTAGTCCTGGAAATGATAAATGATATGACCAATGTAGAAGATGAACATTTGCAACACCAGTTTCATAAGATCTACATTCATCGTTATGAGAATGTCAGGTGGGTGGAGGAGCCTCTCTTTAACGTCTCAGATGCTGCTAAGTGTCTCTTGTTTGAGAGTTTCCCTTCTGTTGCTTTATTCATTCATAAATTAGAAAATTAGTGTACCCTTGTTTAATCCCTGAGCAGATAAGCACTTTGGTGCCTTCTTTTACTCATCAGGAGGGCTGAATGCCTTTGCCATGGCAAGACCCATTTGAACTGAACACTGGGCCTGGACCATTTGCGTATTTTTTCACTTTAATTAAGTAGTCAGTGTTGCACAGAAAGGGGAGCTCTGCCTGCATGTGGACACATTCTGCCATAGCCTTCTGGTTGACCCCACACACTGAGAAATGAGATGGAGACTTGTAAGATGCTTTCAAAGATGTAGACATGTCATGTGGCTCCTCTGTTTGGTAGCCATTTTCATTCAATCATTCTTATTATCATTTTCCTAATTCCATTTCCCTTTTTTATTCCTCTCTATAAATTTTGTCTCTCTTGAAAGTAGTTAGCGGGAAGGTGATAGTTATCCTATGAGCTGCCGTTCAAGGTAAAAAGTCCTAATTGTACATTTACACCAGAATGATCAGCTTCCACTCCATGATGTTACAGAATCTCTGATTTTATTGTGGTTCCCGACCATCAGAATATTTAGCTAAGCCAATAACATTTTCCATAAGTTTGTCCCAAACCACGAGGGCAAATGACCGAGTGGCCATCACTGAAGGAAGTGAAAAATAAGCATCCTTGGATATGATGGGAGATGGTTTGCTAGGAAAACATGTACTTTGCCTTTTGATGAAACCCAAATATAACTTTGTCTGGACAAGTTCAATAAACATAACTTGAACTTCTGCAGAAGAGTAAATTTATTATCTGCTTCTTCTGTGGCCTTGCAGTATCTCAGACATATTATTTTATTAAATCTGGTGGAAAGTATCAAGGACCCTTACAAAAGGTTTGAATTGCACTAAATTAAAATGCTTCCATTACCCTTTTCCATTCTCAGAGTAAGTGTTGCTGTAGAAGAATCAAAATAGGGAGAAGATGGCCATTCTGTTTGAATGGAAGAGAGTTGTAGTCAGGGGTGAAAAGTTGAAACATAATTTATGCTTGAAATAGACTTAAAATGAAGATTCTGTGTGCTTTAGAGTACAGGTACTGGTTGGTTCTTATGTATGCTACCAGAGACTAGATCTTTTCAAAACTGTGTTTCACCTTATTTTTTCCTAAATGTTGAGAACTGAACACTACCTAAACCAATGCTATATGAATCCCTATGAATCCAGTTACAGTTTTTTGTTGTTTTGATAATGAAAACTATAGAAATTAGTTGTTTGAAAATCTTTTTTTTTTCAATTTAGGCTATTATTAATATTCATTCCTCTTTGGGTAGTTTGGTACTTTACCTTTTAATTTTGTTTTTTCTCACTGGTAAAAATCTTACCCAGTTTGTGAGTCTTTTACTTAATCCTCACCCAAACCCTTACCAGCCCATACATTTGAAAATGAGTTGAATTATCATTAGTCGTATTTTATTGTCCACCTGATCATTACTGTATTTATTATTGGTGATTCTCAGACACTGTCAAATTGCAATCTTGTTCAACACAAATGAAAGATCTTCAGCTACTCAGATTGTAACACCAGATATTAGTTGACTTTGAAGTGCTGACGAGGTTCATTTGGGTTATTTCCAGTCTGTGCAAGCATGATATGTGTCTTTTTGAACATCAGTACTTTTTAAAGTAGCCACTGCTTTCCTTTCTTCAGCTACTAAGTACTGAGCTATTACATGCTTTGGTCTGGGTGATAGCTTGCACACCACAGACTTTATGTGTGTGTGTATGTTTCTCTATATTCACATGTGCTCATTGTAGGCATAGTGAATAGCCAAAGTTGCATGGCTAGAAAATTCACTGGCTGCTGAAATATAGGTTAGAGCTCTGTTTGCAACTACTTTGTTGACTAAGATCCTACTATAACCTCAGGCACCCAATTTGATGCACCTAAATTCAAAGTATGATCACACTGGGCTCCCTGTGAAGCCAATGAAAAGAACAAGGAATCATCCAAATAAAAATTCATAGCTTAAATAGAGGGTACTATACTTCTAACTCAGGTACTTCTGTCAAGTCCCTAAAATTAGATGCAATAAAGCCAGCCTGAGCCTGCTATATATCAAGACTGTCATGAATCTGTCTGTTGTCTGAGGATTTGAGTCTTGTATGGCACATAGACAAATAAAGCCTGGAAATCACACTAAAAATTGAAATTGCTGAAATCAAACCCACTGTAAAAAACAGTTATATATAAACCTACCCTCAAAGAGCACTGTCAGATACTAACACACAGGTGGGTGTCAAGTCTATCTGTTTATACAGCCCTCTATATTATGGATGCGCTATGCCTCAGTCTTCTCACTGATAAATGGGGACAACTGTGCTTATTAAGCCTTAACTACATCTTCCTGAGTGAGTTGAAAATCCAAAATTGCATAACACACATTTTTGGCAAAACCCTTTCTCATACTTGGTAGTATTTCTTTAGTCCCTTCAATATTTATATTCAGTACTCCAGAATCTCCAAAAGTCTAGAGCAAAGGTAGCATGACTTAAATGATCCTTCACTAGTAAATTACTAGAAGGTAACTTAGGACACTCAGCTATCAAAGGAAAGAGACTGCAATATTAATCTCTCTTCTTTTTTTAGCATTCTTTTTGCAGATGTTAAAGGATTCACCAACCTCTCCACAACTCTGTCAGCCCAGGAGTTGGTCCGAATGCTGAATGAACTCTTTGCCAGATTTGATCGACTAGCACATGTGAGTTAAACACAGTTTATTTGCAAAAGGGTATGAAGTCGACACTGTATTTGGGAGCTTTGGGAAATACCCTCTGATCACTTTGCACAATCTTCATCCAGATTTTCCCCATTGGGATTTTATACAACCATTGAGGTTGGAAGACACCAGGTTTTATCAAAAATTATGAGTTCTGATAGCAAGTGAAAGCTCAGATAGTCATCAGAACTTCGTGCTCCTGTAGTGCTAGACCAAGAATGGTATGAAAGCAGATCACCTGCCTCAGTTTCTAAGGAAGTTTTATAGTTCTGGTTCTTGCTGGAAAATGAATTGTTTTGAAGACCATAGCTTTGTTTTGACTTTTCTTCTAAGAAATGAGGAAGGCTAAAAGACCTATTCATTTAAAGGTCACATAATCAGCCGCCACAGTCATTGCAATGGTTAGTTACTGACAGGTTTTACATCTTTAGGTTGGATTCTATCTAACTCAACAATGAAATTAATTAAACACAGTAGAGGAATTTATTACATTACGCAAATTACTTGCCTCTTAATTAGTACTGATTAGAAAAAAAGCAAAGCACAGAAATACAAGCAGAACACGCTCAATTTTACTAGGCTTGCATTTTCTTTTCTTTTTTATGTTTCTTTGGTCAAAGTTTCATTTCATGTGACTATCTTTAGGTGTTAACATCTGAGCTGGCTGATAAGGTCGCTAGTGTAGGCAATGAAATACATTTAATGGAGTTTAGCTTATAATTTATCCAACCAAATGTAAGCACCTACTATAGGAAAACAGGAATTACATTCTGAATATCATTGACCGTGATCTCTATTTACTATAAAGGGAGCCTAGAGTCACTTGCTCTGATGTACACACCTACACCCCTCACCGATTTTTATACATTTCTGGTTCAGGGGTATGGGGTATTTGTGCATGTATTGCACAGGCATCAGTAAGACCCTTGGTGTCATTTCTTAGCTTGCAAATTAGTCAAGAAAGGCAAAACTCCTGTAATTATTTAAAGCTCTTTTGAGTCAGCTATTTTTATCTCAAATAGCAATGTGTTTTCTCATGTACAGAGTGATGCCATAACCCATTGCCTGGACACTGGCAAACTGGTAAATGCAATCTATAATATTTGTTTTGCAAACAAAAAACCCTCATCAATGCTGATCTACATTAAAAATGAAGCAGGGTGAAAGGAGTTACTTCAGTCCTGTCTTTTAGAAAGCTTATAGGAGTAATGTCTGCTTCTGTATGGCTTGACAAAAATAGCTACCCTAACTGAAGAAACATATTTTAAACCAAATTAAATGTATATCACAGAAGTATTGTAGGAAGAATATGTACACAGTATAAGTTATTGCCTTGCTTTACATTTCAATTTTGCCTAACATTCTTGGTAGAACAGATTCTTCTTTCATGATCATTAACCATATTTTCTAATCATTCCATAAACTATATTTAACCAATAGAGATTTTTTATAGAAGGACTAGATCCAACAAAGGAGTTAATAACAAAGAAGGCATTTACATCTAAAAGTGTAATCCAGAGAATCCTCCCTCACTTGCCACTTAACCCTGAAAGCACTTCCCTGCTTGGTTTTAATATTTTATGGGAACTGAATATTTTGCTGCTTTAAATGCCCAGAGGTTTTCCCCTTCTCTGTGGTTTCTCATACATCTCGTACTTAAACCTTCTAGAAATCTTTCTGTCGCAGTCCTAAACTCATAAATCTTCATGGAGAATACTGAATGTGCCCACATAGAAGTGGGTATCCCAAAAATGTAAGTGAGTTTATTTTAAAGGAACAGTAATAAATATACCAGTTTGTCTAACATAGCTAAGAATTTCTTACCCAGAAATTTGCAGAATTTGGGATGAAAGAACTTCTCTGTCTGCAAAACTTCATCATCAGGACAGTCACCTCTTGAGTGAATGTCCCAGTCACTAAATTCAAGACTCTAAGCTTCTTCATGCATTTTCTTTCTTAGTCTATCAATTTGCTTTTCTCTTCTACACATCATTGACTAGACTAATCCAGTTCTCTAGATCAATCCTCTGAAAGGTGGAAGACACAGGGGAGAATCACTGCAGAAATTGAACAGATTTGACTACAAAGATTAGAATGATCTAATCATGACTAATTAAAATTCATTAAAAAGAAAGGCATTTTGATTGTGTTCCTTGTTTGTGGTTTCTGAGACCTGGATGTCATGATATCTGCCTGATATCCTGACAATAGAGATGTCCAACAGCCCTAGAGAAGAACAGAAGCTCCTCATAGTTTTTGGTGTTTCTGTCCAACCCAAGGAGATGAACTCTACCTCTGCACTTTATAGGAAATCAAGACTCCTCACTCAGGGTTCTGGACTCTTATGGAGGGGCCAGCTGCCTAAAATATAAGGGCCTAAATCTTGTATTAAACTTAACTTTGCCTCTGGAAAATTTTGGAAGTGGACACTGACTGGTCCATGATCCAAATTTTAAGGACTTGTGATTTACATGGACCTATCAACCTACTCAACTGATATTGTACGAAGCTTTCACACCTGGCAAAGGTGTATCTTTTGGAAAAATGCCCGATCTTCACCTGAAGGTCCCAGGAGATGGAGAAATACTTGTGTATCTTGGGAGTCTATTCCAGTGCCTTAACACTCTCACTGTTAATTCAGTATGGCTTGTTGCTCATTTGATTTTTTCTGACTTTGAATTACATCCATGGATTCTTGCTGTGACCTGTTTTTTCCCAGACAAAAGAACCAACTTGTAGCCAATTATTTTCTCTGGGAATACATTTGTGTGTTTTGATCAAGCCACTTTTCAGGTTTCCTTTTGATAAAAGAAACAGACCAAGCTCATTGCGAGGCTTTTTCTCTGTAAGATTTATTCCTTCAAATAATTTTTGGGACTAGTTTTCTGGACCGCCTCCAATTTTTCAGAATCTCCTTTAAGGCATAGGTACTAGCACTGAAAGCAGTGTTCCTCCACTAGTGTGGTGGAGGCAGATCATCACCATTCTTCCTGTTCTCTCTTTCCTTGATCACTGTCCACAGATCACGTTTCTGAACATACAGTGATGACACTATCGTACTGAAACATATTATTTTGCTTTTTTATGCTCTTGCTGTCTTGCTATGACCACCATGCCTGCATAGTAATTGATCATTCTACCAGTCTTATTCCTTCTGCAAATGTTATTAGCAATGGTTTCATACTTGTGTGTAAATCCTTGACAGGCCTTTTGGAAAGTGGTCCTTTCAATACCTCCTTAGAAGGATCTTCCAGTAATGAGGATTACACATTCACATCTAGATTTCAGATCTATCACTTAACTGTTTCTTAATCAGCTTAACTAGAGTTATCGTAACTCTTTAAAACAGACACTGTTACTCAAACTCTTGGGTTTTGCTAAGAATTATCATCAAAGAGGTCAATTGCAGAAAGCTTGAGGCAGTTTCTTTAGATTTTAAGGAAAATCCTTATAAATCCTTATTTACTTCCAAATAAAAGTAGTATTTTATAATCCCATATAAAGGATTGTTTGATCTGCTCTATCGTCATATAAAAATCATATAATATTAAAGAAGACACTATTTCACAGCTTACTGAAGAATGTAATTTAGCTTAGTTTCTTGTTTCTCTTATTCAGCCTTCCTTTTTCTGGTGCAATGTAGAAGCAATGAAAGCTCTGAAATTTTTTTTAATTTTCAGTTGGTTACATCAAGAGTTGGGACACATGTTGATGCCTATAATTAATAACAACAAATTCCATAATATCTGTTATCATTATCACAGAACACTGAATAAAAATTAGAACTCAGTTCAATATTTCTTATAGGAAAGAAATGTAATATTATGTTATGTACAGCTACTTGCCCTTCCTAATCACTCTATGATATTTGTAAAAGATTTATAGTTATTAAAGAGAAAAGTGACAGCTAGAAAGGAAGAAAAAAAAGTTGGCATAAAACAGAACTGAAGAAAAGGTTTCCCTATATGTGCATCTACTCAAAGGCCTAAACAGAAACTTAATTAATATTAATATTTTCCTTAGGCAGAAATTTTGAGGAGAGAAGGGAAATAAGATGACATTCGATAAGATACTTAAGCCTAAAAAAGGTCCTGCTTTGATGAAATTATAGTAATTTTTGACGCTTGTTTTTCCTCTGCCTTCTCTGCAATGCTAGATGTCAACTGATACTATGATTTAAATTGTCATATTTCTAAATGTATCTACACTGTGTGTAGATTCAGTTTCAGATATAACAGAGAGGAAAGAGTAAAACCCTAAATAGAGGAGCAGACATCTGTAAGCTTTGTCACAACAGCAGCTGAGATGTAGTCCAACATCACTGAGACCTAAAAATAAAATCAAGCCACAGCATTTTAGTTTAGACACATGCACAAAGACGAACACACAGACAGTCTTAGATTTGAGTTTGGACCCATCCTTAATATGAAGCATTGATGCTGAAACAGAATTCTTCCCCTGAAAGACTAAAATCCATGGTTTTCATAGAAAAAATAAAAATGACTGGCCTGTAAGACACTTCATTTCTTTACATTCTCATCAGCTCTCATACAATAAACCAGAATAACAGTGCTTCTTACTCAGAGGAACTGTAGATGCTGAATGGAAAATTCGCACTTTAGTATGAGCCTTTTTTCTCTTCATGTCTCTAGCCTGGTGTCAGCTGGAGAGTTATTTATGTAATGTGAATCACAGGTTGGTTTTGCTTATTAAAGATTTGAGGATTTTCTTTTCTAAAAAAGAGGTGTTTTTTTTCTGTAACCTTGGTTAAATTCTCTCTTGGGAGATTGCAGACACCCTGCCAAAAATTCCTCCAACAGTGTAGGAATCACCAGTCTTACTTGTGACTAACGTTTCCAGGGGTGAAAGCCAGCCTAAATAGCAGGCTCCACAAGAATGCATCATCGTACAGCCCCAGTACAATGCCTGCACCAACTGGTATCAAAGAGGGAAGAGTGGAGGGCGTTAAAGGCTCTTTTGTC